AGAGCACAAATTCTGATGCTTCGGTGTGTGCTACAGTGTTTACTCGTGTTCAACTCGCGCTCAAGGTGGACGCGTGGAACAAGCAGAGCCAGATGCCCTACCGGGTTTTGCCAGGCTGGGTGACCGTGCCACAATGGCCAAAGCACGTGCCGTGATTCATGAACCTTGCAAAGCGTCCCCACCCTGTACCCTTCCAACCCTGGCAGGCGATCACATCCTCGAGGTCAGCTCTGCATGATTTTCATTGTGCTGATTGTGTCTCATGCTTGGTACACGATGTAGACGATGTGCACGATGCTCGCTCCATCTTGGCGTTTGCTGCGGTGGGTGGCGGCCGTGCATCATCTTTGACAAGCAGAGTCTCCTCTGCAGACCTTTGGTATCTTTGGTCCCTTTAGGTGGCGTTTCCTGTAGAACTTGCGCCAGTGCTCTGCGTGTGAAAGATGCTGCTTGCATCGGTTCATCCGCCAAGACGGCGGAATCGATGCGATCAGCATTGAGGCCTTCACAGCAGGGAACGTCAGGTTGGAAAGATCTCCGAGAGCAGAGCATCAGCACATCCTGCACAACATAAGGTCCAGTGATGCTATAGTGGAGGATGGGTGTCGGGGTTTCGCTTAAATTCTTAAGTCCCCGCAAAGCAGGGGGGGCGGGCAAACATGCCACGCGAGCCGAGCCCCCCCTTGCCCCATGAAGCGTAGAGAACACATACAAGTTGTGGGCAACCTCATAAAAGCGGGGGGCTGCAGGAACCTCACCAACTTTGGGGGAGAGAAGACACGGAGATCGAGCTGGGAGGTAACCTTTGATGAGCTCGGTGTGATCGGAAGCTCGGCGACAGCACGGATAACAAATATAACAAGCTCACCCACGCGGCACAACAAAGTGGAGGGGGGGAACCCGGATGGCGAAGCTCCGGAGCATCTGCAACCTCAAGGCTAGCTTTTTCCACGGTGACTGCTTGTGACGTGGCCATGCTCTTCTCTACGAATCGCAGACCCTGCGCGTCAGAGGGAGGTAGGGCCAGCTTGCCGTGACCATGCTCAAAACACAAGAATAGATCATGTGAAAGGAGTCCGCTGCAGGTTTCCGCAAGAGTTGCGACACAGTGTGCAAGCTTTCGCCAAGATCGAATCGACGAGACGCCCCGCAAACCATGGTACGTGGCCCTGATCGGCCTAAGCACAAGACCCTGAACCACGGGATGAGCTTTTCCCGGCGGTCTAAAGGGGCAAAGACGGCAGAGATCTCTAAGTACCCCGGAGTGTATTCAAGCGAGAAAAGGCGGCTGAAACATTTGTGGTGCAGGCGCATGAAGTTCACGAAATATTGGCATTTCCCTGCGTCGACTGAGCCACATCATGCTTCTTTCTTTTAAAGTTCAGTGTATGGCGAGGTGAACGACGTGAGCATCAGTGCCCAGCCCAGCAATTCACTGTAAGTAGGGTGTAGAGGTCAACGGCGTGAGTGGCAGTGCCCAGCCTAAATCGAAAATGCCTCGCTCTTTGTACCCCCTCCTAGACTTCGTTGTCAACCTCACTTGCTTCTTTGAATGCTCAGGCGGAGATAGCAAGTCGCAGAATGACAAGTTTGCTGTTAGGACCTGTGTCAGCCACGTTGCCATCCGAGCTTCGTTGCAAGCGGATAACAGTTAGAGATCTTGCCGATGTGCAGGATGGTGCAGGAGTTGTCCAAGGACAGGAGAAACGTGCACTTTACGGCGCGCCCGTGTTCAAGTAGGTAGTTCAAGGCTACAGGGGAAAACTGCATCTGGCAGTGAGAACCTGCACCAGGTCGAAAGAGCCCCCTCGATGTCTGAGATCTCTCCGGAGGTCGTGAGATGCATCGACAGCTAGTGCCGATTCGTGCAGCGCAAGATCTAAAGTTGCCAACTTGCGCACCGGACAGGACGAAAGCATCCAGGTGTCTGACCAAGGTGCGGCCGTCGTTGGGGCTGGCTTGACTGGGTGAGAGAGCATGCGTCTTGTGGTCGCTCTAGGCGATGCGCGTCGTCGCGCGGATGAGCCACGAGCTCACAAGTTCATGACTTGTTCTGAGATGTCATTTTCGTAGGCTGTTTGCGTTTGAGGCAGATCCTGCCGCGGCACGTAGGCAGCAAGCTCAGGTCGTTGAAAGCACAGCGCCGCAGTCTAGTCTCTGAACTCTGCAGAGCCACTGTAGTCTCCTTTGTTTGGTGATTCGTTTCCCCAGGTCCCCAGCAGAGCCTGGAGGGTGGCCAGGACCAGGGAGAACTAAAGCAGTCTACCCGATCCCACAAGCCCTCATGTCCTTCCCAGTCCTTCCTCCCGAGCCTCCCCAACCCATTCCTCTGCGCCTCAACTGGCAAACTGGCAGAGCCCCCGCCCGCGTGTCTCTGTGTGCGCGCGTGCGTGCGTGCGTGCGTGCGTGCGTGCGTGCGTGCGTGCGTGCGTGCGTGCGTGCGTGCGTGCGTGCGTGCGTGCGTGGGTGTGTGTGTGTGTGTGTGTGTGTGTGTGTGTGTGTGTGTGTGCGCACAGCTGTTTTCAAAAGTTTTTCTTATGCAGGGTGGGTCAGCAGGGTAAGTGTGTGCGTGGGTGTGTATGCGGGCGGCAGGGCTCTCAACTCGCGAATATCATGATTGGGGCTGCTGGTCCCTTTCGACATTTCTCGACATGCAGCACTGGCACATCTTCGGCAAGCTTGTTCGATTAAGTGATGAGCGGCTGGAGTCGGTAGAGTCATGTAGAGTCAATATGAGTCAATGTAGAGTCCGTGAGACCAGAGCAGCTACAGGCCGCGCAAGGATCACATCAGTTTTGTTTTTCTGGAGTTCTCGTGACTGGATTCCACACGTTTAGCGCTGCGAAGGATTCCGACACGGCCCAAGGCAAGCCTGCTGTCTCTGCTGACATGACATTGTTATAACATGCCTGCCCTTCAGCGCATCAGCTGTGTTTGCTTCGTTGCTACAAGGTGCTGTTCCGAAGCCCAGCAGTCAGCCACTTGCCAGCAATGTCATGAGAAATGCTAGTGAACGACGGGAACATGTGGCGTGGCAAGCCCGGACTTTTCGCTGCTGGAGGAGATGTAGGTAGGTCCTGTAGGTAGCTCTTGGCCATTTCCTGAGGCCCACACCTTCGAAGTCAAAAGCCCAGTCCGGGGGACAGGCGCCTCCAAAGCAAGGGCAGCCAAAAGCGACCCCTGCAATCGCACCAAAGTCCGGAGCACAGTTTTTCAGCGCCATCTTTCGATAGCATGTTTCGACTGTTTCGATGGCATGTGTCGGGCATCATGTTTCTCGAAGCCGGCCTGCAAGAAGTTCCCAGAAGGGTGCCAGTGCCCGAGGTGGGCGCCGAAGTCAGGTCTGCCAGGCTGGTTGCTTGTGAGCTGCCGTGTGCTGTGAAGTGCTGTGACGTGCTGTGAACTGGGATTGCGTTGTTTCCACGCTGCATTGGGCAAGGGAAGTCTGAGGAGAGCGAAAGTGTGGAGGTCGAGGAAGAAGGCTGGGGCTTGCCGCGTTTCAAAGGGCCATGGACTGTGTAAGATGTGAGCTGAGCTAAACTGAGCTGAGACTCTGGGACTATCTGATGCTGAGGTGCCTTGCCCATTCCAGATGGAGAGGCCGACCAGGCCCTTCCAGAACCCACACAGGAGACGGAGGGGAAAGAAGAGAAAGCGGAGAAGGAGGAGAAAGAAGAGAAGGAAGAGACGGAAGAGAAGGAGAAGGAAGAGAAGGAAGACAAGGAACAGAAGGAAGACAAAGACAAGGACCCCCCAGAGCCCAAAGAACCTGAGACAGCCAAAGCTGAAGAGACCCTTCCAGCCGTCGAGACGGAGGCTCCGTCTTCGGCACCTTCAGACCAGGCTTCCGCAAAGGAAGCTCTGGCCCCTCCCAAGGCCAAGGAGCCCAACAAGGCACCCCCGACGGCGCCGCCCCCCGCCTCCCCTTCTTCCAGGCCCCTGCCGCCACCTCCCAAGATGGTGGCTCCTCCTAAGCCAGGGCAGCCAGGCCCAAAGACCAAGGCAAAGCCCGACGAGAAGGAGCAAGGTGAAAAGGAAGGAAAGCCCGAAAAGGCCGAGAAGGCCGAAGCAAAGGCCGAAGCAAAATCTGAGGCAAAGTCTGGACTGCCTGCCCCGCCAGCCGGCCCGGCTCCGCCTCCTCCTGAAGGCGAGCTGGCTGATGGCTCGCCCACCACATCACCCAAAGCCACTTCGCAAGCATAGCCTCAACGAGGACCGGGACACATCGGGTGAAGGAGTGGTATTGAGTGGTGTGATGGTCGCACCGACGTAAAGTTGAAAGACAAACCGCAGCTCACGCTAGGACCAGCAAACACGTCCCGTGGACAGTTCAGGTGGTGCCAGTGCTAGTGACTGCTAGTGCACTTAGTGCAACGGCCATCTGCTTGCAGGACCGTGGCAGTCTTGCCGACCTGTGTTTCAACTGAGAGCCTCGCTGACTTTCTGAGTGTTGTGTTTGTCACATCCACTTTTCATCGGGGGGTATATTCCCCGCTACAGCCATGCCAACAGCAATGTGTTTCTTTCTCCTGTAGACCTGATGGAATCAGGTGCAGAGATATTTTCCAGGCCTTTTGCTAGCGACCAGTATTTCAGACCTCAGCATTTGACAGCACATTGAAGCCACAAACTGCAAATGAACGCCTGACAGCACAGAGGCCTGTCCTCTCACCTGCGCCTTATATGACAGAAGCCTGGCTATGCCCATTTAGGTTGTTGGCTCGATGGACTTTGATAAACTTACTTCTGTTTTGCATGATGTAGCCGTCTGGCGCAGATCATTGAAGCAGGTTGAACCTCGTGTCAGATGGTGAAGCGCGGTGAAGCATTCGTTAAGCAAAATTGCTCTTGCGCAGCACCTTGAGCGAGTTGCAGTTGCCTTTGCATGCGCTGTGCATCCCCACACATACATTGGTCTGCATGGGGCAGTCGAGCCGTTGGCAGACCGCCGGCATGCGTAGAACACGATTCCGAGGGAAAGCATCTCCGCCGGTTTGCAGGCAGTTATAATTTCCTGTGGAGCGCCCGATTCGTTCGACGTCTACGAGGCTCCTCGCGCCTGTTTTGAACCTTGTCTACGCATAGACGTGCGTGCATGGTGCAGGCTTGCTTCGAGACCCTCACGAAGGTTGGGTTCGGGCTGCCTGGCATTGCCAATAAGGCGACCGATCGACCAGCATTCTGCCATATTCTGCCGCTTCGAGATCTTGAGACGTGGGCTTCGACTTTCGCAGGAGCTTCTGCTGAAACTACTCGAAGATGTCCATGAGGCAGATGGCAGATTCCGCCCACAGCGTCAAACGTGCCATCCTTCTATGGGAAATGAGCATTTAAAACCTTAGAGGCGACAGTATGCAGGGTCGTTCTGATGAGCCTTGCGAGCCTAAAGTGGTCGTGATCGCTTTTGTGAAAATGCATGACATCCTCGTGACAGGTTTATGATGTCCTCCTGTCCTGTGTGGAGACCTATGAGTGGGCCGGGAACCTTTCTGGAATCCGACCCCCCTTCTTTGGCTCCATCACTCTCCGCTGCTCTCTGCGCTTCACTGAAGGTCCAACCCGGAGCAACAGGCCTCCTGCGGCTGTGGATGCTTCAGGTGCAGTGTGGCGCAATATGATACAACAGCGTAGGACAGATGGGTGTGCTACGGTGTGTCGCGTGACTTGACCGAGCTTGATGACGTACAGTGCGGTCCTGTTTGGCTTAAGCTTTATAGAGCCGCGATCTGGAGCCTCGAGCTTCAGCTCACTCGCCCCCGCCCCAGCCACGAGCAGCGGAATCGGCGGACCCAATGCAACCATATTGCAACGAAGTGCAGCGATCTGATTTCTGAGTGGGTTCTCAGGCTCCATATGCCCCGGGAAGTGGTCGTTGTGGCGTGTCTCGGCACAGCATCGGTCGCCCTCACTCATTGAAGCGCTGGCAGAGACTTGCAAAGGTACGAGGACCTGGTGGCAGGCGTGGACCTAGGGCCACAGCTCCTCGAGGCAGGAGACTGTTCTTTTCTGAGTGCCATGGAGAGTGAAGGGTGATCAAAGGGTGATCAAAGAGTGATCAAAAAGTTATCGTGATCCTCGTTCTGGGCATCGCTGAGCGACATCAGGCCTGGGGACCTGGCAGCCTCGGAGTTGTTGCCGTCCGAGGAGTTCCAAGATGGCAGGACCTCAGCGTGGACTCAAAACAGCTCAGGCGACTTGCCAAGCTCCCTCAGGGTGTTCATTTCAAGCCTCGAGAGAAAAAAAAAGAGCCGAGGTGGGAGGAAAAGAGCCGAGGTCAGAGGTCAGGGATATGTAGCCGCCGTTGCGAATCGTATCCGTATCAGAACCGACAAAGGCCAAAGGGCCTCATGCTTTAAGGGGCTCGTGCAGTCCTCGAGCTGCGAGGCGGTTGGTGAGATGTGCGAAATCTGCAAATGCCGAGATGCCCGCCCCGACATCCATAAATCCCCTGGCCTCAGGCCTCCCAGCGTTGTTTTAACCCCTCCACTGAAGTTCACGGAAGCCTTTCGAAACTTCTGGAACATTCCCGATTCTCGGTTGGGTTCAATTTTCCCAAATAGGCATGACTCGGGCATGTGCCCTGCCAGGAGCTGTACCTGTCTGTGCTACAGCGGGCCACCTAGCAACCACCACCATTGAAGCTTCTGCGGGGCTTCCGTGGGCTTTAGGCTGGCGCACAAGCTTGCTCACCTGCCGCCGCAGAGCTTGGCAGCCATCGAGGATGAGGTGCGATGTATCGGAGCATGTCTTGGCATCATAGGTCTTGCCTTCCGCACGAGGCCTCTATGTACAATGCTGGCTGGCCGCTTGCACAGAGGATAGGACGTGATAGGATACGTGATATTTTCAGGGCTTTCTGCACTGACCCCGCTTTGGGACCAGAAAATAAGGTCGCATGGAAAGGAGAAACTCGGAGACAAACCTGACCTGGCGAAAGGATCGTGTCATCCTCAGATTCCGCGCACGCCCGCGGAGTACAGCAACTGTGTGTGGCCGTCAAGGTTCTATTTCAACCCCTTGGCTGATGCTCCCGGTACAGAGGTTCGATCGGCTTTCCTTAGCCAGTCGTACCCTTTTTCTGCCAATGACCGGTAAGGAGGATCGGGCAAAGTTCCCGTGGGCGCTGCCGAAGAACCTTTGGCCAAAGGACGTTACCAGAAAGAAGTCTCTCAGCATGGATTCCGAAGGTGTCTGGCAGTTTCCAGGAAATTCCAGAGCTGGAGACAAACTGCAAAGCGCTTGGTAGTGTGATGCAGCAGGCTCCAGCACAACGATGCTCATACGAGTTATGCATAGTTATACTACTTGCTAGCAGTGCTGTTCAGTGGCAGTCCGACTCACTGAGCCAATCTGTAGGATGTGTGTTTGTGTGCTTTAGCCCTTGCATGTGAGGAAGGAGTGCAAATCTTCAAAGAACCTGTGTTCTGCGTACGTTGCCCGCAGGTAATTGGCCACCTTGGCAAGCAAGTGGATCGTGTCATGTCCAACAAGGTGCCTATTTGTGCGAATGTGCGGGTTGCGGTCGAGGTTCGATGAAACTCGATGAAGAGAGCTAAAACGGTTCCACAGGTAAAAAGCTACACGGCGAATCTCGGAAAGACTCTGAGCTGGGTTCCTACGGGCCTCTGAGGCAATGGCAAGGCTTATCGGGCTCGCATCCTGCCTTGCGAAGGTGAGACAGAAAAATGCAAAGGCCGTCTGCTTTACTACTTCCCTCCGAAGGCCAAGCTGTGCTGTGATGTGCTGTGATGTGCAGTGCCGCAGCTGCAAACCATGCAAACCTGCAGGAGGCTGGGGCAGCTCAGGAAGCCGTCCCAGAGGAGCCGGGCGGTTGCCAGAAACTTGGCCCTGGTGCAGCCTAGTGCAGCCTAGTGCAGCCCTTGAGGATGGATGGATCGGTTGGTCAGCATCTCAGTGCTCAGATTGCACAATTTGCACATTCGCCTTCAGCCTCGCCATCAAGCCAAGGCATAACGATTCTGGCTTCATGACCGGCCTAACCCCTGATATATATGTAACCCGGCCATGTACTGCTCGTGTCATGGAAGCCGAGGAGTGGGTCAGTTTAGATTCAACGAAAAACCATGTTCTGAGGTAGATGACAAAGACGTGCTTTCCCCAGTAGCCTCAGTAGCCTCCCTTTGCAAACGGCGATGCAGTGAATGCAGTGTCCGAGGGTGAGATGATTCCGAATCCGGATCCGGAAGGAGCCGGCTTATGGATTGTTGATCGTGATGGTAGTGTGCTGACCTGAGACCATCTGAGACCCCCTCACAGATGTCACCTTTCTGGGGCGCGAATGCTCGCCCACAGGCAATCCGCGTGAGGATTCCCCCGGACTGCATGGCAATCCAAGTGGGTGAGTGTACGCAGGTCCGTGCCACAGCTCGAATGTCTGCAGTTTGGATCGCTGGTCAACATGTGTATAAACACTGCTCGGTAGGTTGTTCGAATGGTTTCGAAAGCATAGACTGTTGCTTCCGACGTGTACGTGATACATTTGTGAACAGAATCCTGGGGACGTGCCAACCGTCCTCAAAGTCTGATGGGCAGCGGTGTTGCTGGCTAGCAGAAGGACTTGTTGTGCCACCTGGTGATTGAGGTTGTGACTGGTGGTGAGTTCGTGGCCACTCCGCACTGCGTACGAGGTTGTCGGCCGCAGTACACCAGCGGGCGCAAGGCCTGCGAATCCTCGCGAAACCTGTGGTGGGGCTCTGTGGGGCTTGCTTGGACCCTGACGCAGGTTGCCAGAATAAGCTGCCCATGCTTTGTGGACACACACCCTTCCTTCGAGCTCAGGCCCGCATGTGCCACTTGCAAGTTCTTGCCGTCTCTTGTGGTGTGGCTGAGCACACCTGAGCATGCGCACAAGCATCAGCGTGTGCTGAGAGCAACATGCTTCCTGAGCTCCATCGGCCATAAAATAACGGGCAAAGGACAAAGGAAAGACGTGAGGGCAGTGTCAGAAAAGGGGGAAAGCTCGTGGCGAAGAGAGCAACTTGGAGTGGAGAGGATCGCATTATATGGGGGAGTGGAGTGCGCTAGCAACCGCTAGTAGAGAGAAGCGGTCTGTGTGGCAGAAAGGGGGGAGCGTGCGAGATCGCGCGCAGCGCGCGCGACACGATCTCAAGAGAGAAGGAGAGGAAGCAGAAAGAAGAAGAAGAAGAAAAAGAAGAATAAGAATATTAAGAAGAAGAAGCAGAAGAAGAAGAACTCTTCCTTCCTTCCTTCCTTCCTTCCTTCCTTCGCCTCGTGCGCACGCAACCCCCTCCAGCAATTGGAGAGGGCCGCACCTTTTCTTGTTTTTGCTTTCTTTGGGGCCTGGGGAGCCAAAAGACCGAAGGCTTTGTCTATATATATATATATATGTACATATCTCTATACACGGTTGAGAACTACATGAGCACTCCACGAGAACACTCTCCTCCCCAGACGCGCTCCCACTCCAAGCTGCTCGCTCTCGCTCCGCTCTTTCTTCTGCTTCGCTCTCGCTCTCTGTATTATTATGATTATTGGAGAGAGCGTGCAAATGGGGCGCAAACAGACACTCAGACACTCAGACACTCAGACACTCAGACACTCAGACACTCAGACACTCAGACACTCAGACCTGATTGGCTTCGGATTCCGCTCCGGCTTCCGATTTTCGCCCTTCTGGTTCCCGAATTTTCTGTCGACCAGGTGAGGGCGTCTTCGTGCCAAAGTGCTTAGTCACTTCGACTTAGTCTCAAGCTGTCCAAGCTGTCCAGGATACCCGAGGGAATGTCTCGTGAGGAGGTGCTTGCGAAAGGCCCCTTGCAGAGTGGCCTGTGTAGCGTTTTGTGGGTCTGTGGCTGGAAGCTGAGAGTGAGAGAAGGCCTGTCTTCAAAAGTACCTCCTCTAGGTGAACGCTGGGAGCGGCTTGGAATGCAAGCTTGGTGTCGCCAACCCCGACGTGCTTGTGAAATCTTCAGAATTCAGGCCAGGACAAAGCTTTGGTGACTTCCTGGGCTCGACCTTCCGCCGCTACTATGTCCCTGGCTCAGAAAACAATTGTCGGACTCTAGCCTGGGATATCCGGGCATTGCCACTTGTTGTGTGTCCACAGCAGTCCCGTGGTGACTCAGAGGACTGGGCCTTGAACAAGAGCGAGCCTCCTGAGAAGAAAGCGAAGACATCGTAGCCGCGCGCGCTGTCCGCACCGGCTGTCCGCACCGCCCTGCAGCGGCCGCTGAATCGCCTGGTTGAGGTGATGCCCTGCGGCACCACGAAGCCCTGTTAAGCAGGACGTCTCCTTGCTCTGCCAGGTGTTTTGCAGAGCTGGGACTGTTAATTGTTAACGCCCAGCACCTTACAGGGACCTGCTAGGGCAGGCCCTGACGTTGGCGCTGCCGTCTTTCAGAAAGTCGGCTGCTGAATAGCTTCATTCCCGTCGGAATTCGTGCTATTTTGCTACTCCGACTGTTCCGAAAATCGTTGCCGCCGATTGCCAGCCGGTTTGCTTCCCTGCCATGAGTGGCAGGGGAGAGCTTGAAACTTTGAAGGTGCTTTTCGCCATTTTCGGCGAGAACTTGACAGGCTTGGGCGGGTGTATCGTTTGTGCTTCTGTTACATCCATCAGTGCATGGCCACAGAATTGGGGAAGACTTTGCACACATCTCAGAGCCTTACTTGCCGTTCCCACAGTGTTGCAGGACTCATGCTCATGGAGCTGACGGACAATGATGTGGCTGGCAGCCCCTGCTACTTGTTGGTGGGGGGGGGGGGGGGGCCGCGCCGAACACGTTTTGGCCGGGAATGGGCCACACTTTTGGTGGCTGTCAACTCCTAAGTTTCCACTAAGAGCATGCGTTTCCACACTTGTTGTGGCTCCTGTAAGCATGAGTTTCCACATTCTTTGTGGCTCTCAAAGCATGAGTGTCCCACATTTTGCCTGAAAGCATGATTTTCCACATTCTGTGTGGCCCCCAAAGCACGAGTTGCCACATTAATTGTGGCTCTCAAAGCATGAGTTTCCATATTTTGTGTGGCTCCGAAAGCATGAGTTTCCACACCAAAGCACGAGTTTCCACGTTTTCTGTGGCCTTAAAGCATGAGTTTCCACATCTGTAGTTCCCCAAGGCTCGCAAAGCATAAGTTTCCCACATTTTGTGTCAGTTTCCACAGTTTTTGTGGCTCGGGCAGATTGATGCGGAGAAGAGGCCCGAAGGGCTTAAGGTCATAGAGTTCGCACGCTTGAAGATGAGTTTCCACCAGTTTTTTCTACAAACCCGGCTCGAGTTTCCATAGGCTTTCCCGCATTCCGCAAACCCCGGCCCGAGTTTCCGCAAGTTTGGCCGCAAAGCCCGATTTCCCGCAAACTCAGACTTTGCATTCGAGTGGCACTCTGCGGTTTCCTGATTTTGCTGCAGAGAGCAACAACGCTCACACCAAGGCAGAGAGTCCTACGTTTTCCCAATCGGTTCTTCTTTTTCAGGTTCCTCCCGATCCGTGAGAGCAGAGAGCGGCCAGGTGCTGTGAGCCTCATCTCCTTCATCGTCCGCTGTGACCAGGCTTGGGGCTTGAGGTCCTCCCTTCAACTTCAAGTCTGAAATTGTTGAGGTTCTGCGTCTCTGAGGTTATGAATGACAGCTATGTAGCTCTGCTAGCTTGTAGTACTGTGTTCAAATCCTGGCGACTTTAAGCTTCCTAGACTTCACCTCTCTAGGCTTCTTGGTTTGTTCCCCTTGTTCCCCGCCCGACATGTGGAGCTGTTCGATTTTCAGGATGAAGTGGCGCGCGAATTATGTGACGCGACGTGCTCTGGACAGCAGGCAGTACAGTCTTGAAGCAGTACAACAATCAGGACAAAAGGCGGGCAGCTTTATTTACTAGAATCTGACTTGAACAGGCCAGCTTGCATAAGCTGCGGAGTCTTAGGCAGGCAAGTGTGCCGGAATGTTGAGGCCAAAGAGGCTCAGGTGGGCAACTGTGCCTGAATGTTGCCTTAAGAAGCAGGGCAAGGTGAGCACCTGTACGTAAGTGTTGCCTTCATAAGTAGGGTAAAGAGGGCAACCGTACCGGAATGTTGCCTTAGTAGCCAGTAAAGCCTTCGATGTTGGCGGGCTCGACTGGCAGGGTGTCCGCCATCTGCGCGTTGACATTGTTTTCACCACAATGGTCATATACAATCTGAGATTTTTGAAGATTCAGCATTTACGCCGCCATCGCGAGCAGTTTCCTTATGTACATGCGCTACTCAACCTTTTACATTTGGCGCGCCCCGTTGGCGGGTGCCTGCTGGTGGGCCCGCTTGCGCCCCATCTCAAGTTTCGTATGTTTCGGTGGGTCCCGGCTGCGGGGCAAAATGGGTGGTGACAAGGATGGGCCATACTCGGTAAAAGTTTCATTTGCGACGTCCGCTGGCGGGGCTTGCGCCGCACGTGCTTCCCGGTGAAGGTTTCACGCTTGGCGGAGGGTGGGAATGCTGACAGGCACGCACCAACCCCATCTTACTGGTCTTTTTAACAGGGGCCTCGAGGTTTGCAAGTTCGCCCGCAAACGGTTCCCCGGTTGGCGTGCCTTGCAATGTTTTTGGCTGCACAAACAAACCACGCGGTCTATATGTAAAGGACCGAAGCGTAACGGTAAAGGTTTCATGCTGGGGGCCCCGCAGGCGGGGCCCTCTGACAGGCTTGCGTTGGGCCAAGCTTCGTCTCGCCGTTTACATGAGGGGAAAGGTTTCACCGTTGGCGGCCCCGCTCGGCCACAGACTCGTAGAACTTTGAGCCAGAAGTTATGTGGGGTCTTTTGAAGCCAAGTTCTTTTCAGGGTTTGATTTACGATTGCCTGAAGCTATAAAGCCCGAAGCTTTTCTGTTTTTTCGGAATATGTCGGTGGCAACATGTTGCAACAAACCCTCTCCCGAATCTGCCGTTATACAGCCTCCACCAGACTCAGAAAATTAAACCGCAAGAAGCACTTAATGCTAGGCCATGCCTTGTCTTCTTCCACCGCAGCTGAAATGGACAATGCGATCTGCTGCCCAAGAAGCCTTAACCTTGTTCTCCAACTTGGTTCCATCGGGCCAGAAATTCTGAAGCAACCTTAAACCATTGATGTTCGAAGTGGTAATTTGTCTCATTGTGCGTTTTGTAGTTTTGGTGGAGGCGCCCTTCGAGATGCAGTCCGCAGCGGGGCAGTGCTTGGTTCAGCTGACCACGGCGGACTCAGTGTTCCTGTCGAAGACAGATGCAGGCAGTGCTGGGCAGCGCTGGCAGCGCAGCCACGAAATACCCAACTCCCGCGAGTCAAGAATGGGACAAGTTTTGGTAGGTGGTGATGATTGGCAGAATGAGCAAATTGCCAAGCTCACCAGTATGCTGAATCGCTCTTGCCTCAAGCATGCTGAAGTCGAGTGAATGTGATTGATTGACCAAGTGTACGAAGAAGGTCATGTGAATGGCTTGATTCAGGCGTGTGAGGGAGTTGCTCCATGCCAACTTTGTTGCACTCTGCTCTCTGCTCCTCGTCTCACAAGGGCATTATCCAGTTCGACATAGTGGAAGCTTTCGGCCGCTGCATCTGCCAGCACCAAATGAGCCTGGAACATAAACTGCCAGAGTCTACATGCGTCTGCTGGATGTCTGCTTCGTGGTGAGAAAGCACAGCGCTGATTGTTCTTGGAAGACGTCTTGTGGCCCAGGTCACTCGCGGACGGACATCATCGTCAAGTACTTCCTCACTACGGTGCGGGGTCTCAGCCATGGAGACAGCACTGCAGCACAAAGGCTTTCCATTGAAAGGTGCTTCTAGATTTCTTGAAGAGACGATGTTGGAACTCCTAGGTATTACTCAAGACGGCTTAGGCATTGGGGTCTTCCCAATTCCCAAGTATGTTTTCCAATCTTTGTTGTTGCTAATCGAATGCCCGTCCACTACTCTCTCCAGAACGACTCGTAAGGGAGCATTCTGTGAAATTTACGGTAGAGTCTCCTTTTCGTAGACTACGAACAAGCACAATGAAACAAATTCTTCCTTCGGACAAATAAAGCACATCAAAAAATGTTTTTCAGGGTTTAGGATGAAAACAGCATCTTCGCACAAACAAAAGATGCATTGGAAATCCCGAGAAAACGCACCAGAATACACATTTTTTTGCAGGAGACACGTCCGAAAGGTCAAGAACGTAGATGCTCCCAGATGTTAAAGTTCGATCCTTTTGGACAGGTTTTCAAGAGAGAAGGCTTGTAGGCATGTCCATTTTGCAGCTCTGTGCACCTAAGAACGTTATGGGCGCTCGCGACGTCATGAGCGCTCGCGTGCTAGCGCACGTGTGCATGTGTGTGTATATATATAGATAGATGTGTGTGTCTTTGTTCCCCGCCAAAAAGGAATCCTTGCATACATGCTTGGAGGGTTTTTACACAAGAGAATTGTATCGGCCCATTCTTCAGAGGGTACAGAAAGCCGATTGCTTTGGCTGCCTCGCTTCACAATACGCTTCTCTGGAAAACCACTTGGGCAGTCCTTCTTGTAACCCCTGATTGGAATTTGTCCAAGAAATGTCGGAACCACAGAGGCTGGACGCGTGTCCACGCAACCTTCCTGCTTGCATCCGAAGCTGCTCACAGACATTCCGTGGCACTTTGTATACTTCTCGTTATTTCCAGGGGTGGTCCGGATAGATACGTCGATAGATGCTCACCTCCCGGGGCCTGCTTACACCTCGAATCCCTTATCGTCCCTACAAATCCCAGGTGCAGGGGTGCAGAGCACCTTTGTTCGCCTCTTTCTGCAACCCAAACCCTATGGCTTTTTGCTTCTTTCTAGAGCCGAAGCCCGTGTCAGCCCTTCAAATCCAAAATGCTATAGCCAAGTATAGCCAAGTTTGCCTGCTTGCGGAACCCTTACGGCTGCAACCTGACGTCCAAAGCTACTCCCGGAGAAAGAATACCCGCAAAAAGAACCACCTTCAGCCCTTATTCTTCAATTCAGTTTTATTCACATATTGAATAAAGCCCCGAGTCCAAGGCTTAAGATTCAAGATGTCTGGGAAACTTTGCCTGGCATGTTGAATCTTGGATCTGGCCCTGAATTCAGAGTATGAACAAAGCTGACTAAATATGAATAAGGACCGGTACAGTAAAGGCTTCAAGATGCCAGGGAAGCTTTGCCTGGCATCCTGAATCTTGAATCTCGGATCCGGGGCCTGATCAACGTTTGAATCAGAATTAACCACATGAATAGGCAATGATGATTCCCTCCTCCCTCCCAAAGCCCACCATGTTGAAACCTTGACCGTAGGTTTTGGGGGGTACCATACCACCCCCGCCCCCCCACCCCCCCACCAACGTATCCGTACGCAAGAACAAGCATCCCATCCAAGATCCAAAATCCAGATTGAAGATGTCGAAAGATTCCAAGGGCCCAAGGTCCAAGATTCCAAGGGCCCAAGATCCAAGATGCAAGGTGTTGAAGGCCAAGGATCCAAGCTCCAATCAGCTTGGGTACTGGATCTTCGACCTTGGATCTTTAACTCCCTGGCCTTTGGGAGAAGTCTTTGGGTCTTGAATGTTTTGGATCTTGCATCCTGGATCTTGGATTTGGGTGAGGGAGATAGCATATGGGATGCATACCTGCCCTCATCAAGTTTATACAAACTTAGAGTACCACAAGGTGACAACCCAAATACCTTTTAGAGATGAGAATGAAATGTGATTATCATGCTATACGCATATAACCACATATAGGGCGCAGTCTTAAGGTGATTCAGTTGTCTAGCATTTGCATTCAACACGCAGAGTCGGCTCAGCAACCCGATAACTTGTTGTAGAACTCTGCTCAAAGTAAGCATTAGATCTCAAGTGAATCTAGTAAGTCTGTTCGTTTGAATATCCAAACTGAAGGTCCATTGTAGATCTCAGAAAGGCCTACTATGTAAATGGCCGGGAATACTAGAAGAGCATGAAGGACAGCTACTGTGGGGGCAGCCGGTCGAGACGAAGACCCCACAAAACGCAGCGGCTCCGGCTTCAGATTTTGTGTTCAAAGATGCAATTTGTTATTGAATATTGAGTTTGCACTTTTAGTTGTGGCATAAACTCTCTGCCATTAAAGCATTCGGTCGGTTGCTGTCTTGGCATTCTAAGTACTGGGACTGGACCCCAGTCATTGATATTGGTCGAATTAGCTATGGCTCTTACACTCTTATCCTGAAAACAGTTTCTACGTTAGAAAAGGAATCGGATTAGCCCCCAGATGCAAACATAGCTGGCGGCTGGATACACCAATTAAGTTGAATGGACATTTCACGAACCGCTTCATGAACTGTATTTTGCTGATTTTTTGTGCCCCACCACAACCTAAAAATTGTCTTCAAGAAAGGCAAGATCATGTATATGTATATATATATATACATATATATATATATGTCTGTGTACATGTATATATGTATGTGTATACATATATGTATATGTATATGTATATGTATATGTATATGTATATGTATATGTATATGCATATATCCATATCTTGCTGCCGTGCGAGTATATGTGTAAAGCAACCTCTTTAGCCCTTTAATCGAAACATGGGCATACTCAACGAATCCTGTGTGAGTCTACTGTCGAAGATTCATGTAAGATTCGTTAAAGCCGTGCAATACAAAGCACAACCGAACAACCAACAGTAAGAACGAATTATAAGAAACTACATTGAACTTAACAACTATGACAGAAGTTGTGAACCATTGCGGAAATAGACGAAGGCACGGATGGAAGGGGGGTTACCACAACTACAACCGCATATATACAGATACAAATACTCGTGTGCTCGCAATCAGAGCAAGAATGGCACATGGAGAGCGCCACGCTGAGATCCACAACTGTCTCCTGTACTGCTCTGCCAACCAGAAGAAGCTCAGGCCTGCCAAATCTTTGATCCCGGTTGAGGGTTCAGGGTTTAGGCTTTTGGGTTCAGGGCTCTTGCATTCTTAGCGCTTCTCGCACCCACCTTTTGGGGTCGAGGCAGCACCTTGCAACGCAGAGCACCATTGTCCAGGCACGCTGGTGTAGTGCTGTGTACACTGCGTAGAGGGTTAGAAAAGGCATGAGGAAGCTGACCCCTGAAGGATATCATGATTCCCTACGTTTACAACATCCTCCCAGCCTTGTTTGACAATCCCGCGGTCTCAAGCTCAGTTGCAATGCAAGCCTCGTGCAGTGGGCATGCGCATGCGGCGCATCCCTGTTTTGTGGCACGGCTCCGCACCTGATTTGCACGTGTTTGTGCAGTGTGGCCCTGCGCTGATCGAGTGGCAGAACCTGAAGGCACCACTTGGAGCTTGGTCCGTGACATCCTGTGGCAGCAAGTCAGCTAGTCTGGAGGCCACATTGCAGACCTTTGTCGTCGTCACCTTCAACATCAACGCTCGGAGCCATAGGGCTGTGAGAATCGACCCCAGCCGGCCTGAGTCCTTCTCTGGAAGGTCTGCATGCGCACTCCCTCCGAGGTTTTCCGGCCACACTTGAGGGACTCGGACATGATCCCCAAAATCTGCGAGGCGACCAACACAACTGCTCTGCAGCTGTCTGCAGCATCCTGTGAGCTAAGCGGTAAGCCCGGAGCTGTGAAGGGGCTCCTGTGCTGCAAGCCAAGGTGCCTCGCATCCTCACTCACATCTCCATGCTAGAGTTGCTGGCATCCATCTGAGTGAAACTGAGAGACAGGCCAGAGCTGGTGATAGGTCATCTCGGTATTCAGGTCAAAATGGCCATTAATGTGGACTACCCCAAGGGCCCGTCTTGCCCCAAGTTGCTTTTGAATGCGCAGCGTGACAGCAGAATTCTTCAAGATTTACAGAGCAGCTGACAAGGTATTGCGACAAGCTTACGCAGATGCTCCAGGTGCAGAGCATGGCGCATCCCGCTCATGATATCGTTCCGCGACGTGAAACATGAACGCAGGCAGCCTTCGAGCAACTGCCGCCAGAGAGCCAGGTGCAAAATTTTATTCCGCTCGGAAAACATATGCATTCCTGGCATGATCCGGCATGCCCTGCGTTCCGTGTAAGTGCAGTGGAGCCTCGCACTTCAGTCACGCTGGCAAGCTGCAGGTTCGACTGCAAAGGCGGATGACCTGCGAGCAGAGCATGCGTCTTCCCTTTTCGAGATCCTCTGTCAAGGCCCATCACTGGAAGAAAGGGACGGAAGGAGTGGGAACTGAGAAGGAACATCGGATTTTCCTTTGCTATTGCTTGGGCACGAGCCGAAAGGCTGTTGAGCTTCTCTCCTTTGCCTTTGGGAGTCCAGAGGCCAGGACCACACCCACCATGATCTTGAGTGCATCTCTGCGACAGTGCATGGCAGGCAACATGTGTAGTAAGATTTGTGCATGTGCTGGTTGTAAAGAAAACTTTTGCTACGACCTCTGTTGCCCATGGCTGCCCCTTTCTTCTTCAAGCTGCATCCGGGGTTGCCCCGCAAGCTTTTTGTCCGTGTCTTCAAGGCGTCGCCGGAAGCAGCGGCTGCCAACAAATCAACCAAGCAGCGCAAATGGAAGAACGCCAAGAACAAGGAGCCATCACTGTCACCTTTGGTGCCTTCTCTTCGCCTTGTGTCAAGAGCCATATCTGCCAGGCGAGGAGAAGAAAGAAGCTCTTCTCAATGCAGGTAACCGTGTTGAGCCCGGCATCGCGTATTCGCACGGTCCTCGAGAAGTGCAGGCCTCGAATAAGAATGGGGAAGAGCCAGAAGCCGACGACGAGCAGGGCGAGGCGATCAGCTCAAACAGCAATTCCTCCGTAATCCGCTCTGATTGCTGATGCTGGTGCATCAGGAGTCCGAAGATGACATGCCCCCGTTGGTCGTCGCCTGAACTCCTTTGCTGTGCGAGTGCCGCGTCAACATTTGCCCTGCAGCATGTTGTGCCCTTGTGCCTGGCGACTGAACTTCTGCACTGAGATTCCTGGCGATGAATGGGAAGCCCATCTTGGCACGGCTGATGAGGTCACCCGAGTTGTAGCATCAAATCTGCCTGGATGTTCTGCACCTTTTGCGTGGCAGGCTGGGGTTCCACAGAAGGCGGTCTGCCAGCTCAGTGGCACGAAGCCTGGTGACGATTGGCCTGACATCTGAAAGTTTTCCTTTGATGCGCCACACAGCTCCCCACGTTTTCTCACTGGAGCTAGGTGCCCTGATGCACGACCCCGTTAGCACTCCAGATGGGTACCTCTTTGAGAGGGCCGCCCTGGAGGACATGCCGGGATCCCTTGCTCAGAGCTCCTGTGAGCATGTTGATGTGCCCTGGAGGACTGGACCAGTCAGCACGGCTCGAACCCCCTCACTGGCGCCCCATTGGTTCGGGCCCTACTTGTCCCGCACGTGTCCCGACTTTACCTGGAGAGGTGGCTCTGCATGCTGTTCACCCCAGGCAATGGATGAGGTGGTGGACCGTGAAGACATAGCCAACTTCATTCAGGCGCGCTGACCAGTGGCATGCAGACTGTACATGTTTCAAAAGCGCTTTGGTTTTTGGCACCAACTTCCGACCAGGGCCCGCAGCTTCAACTCTGCAAAGAGCTTTTTGAGAATCGGCAAAGCTCCCCCTTCATCTTCTTGTGAAGGCCTTGAAGGAACCCCCCCCAAACAGATCCCGAACACGAAACCCGATGGATAGCTTCAAGGAAGGCGACCGCGAAAGTTTAAAGCTGCAAGCGCCAAAGGCTGCGGCCAGAAGTTCAGAAAGTGGCTTTCAGCCTCCGCGAGAAATCGTGGTGTCTCGAAGAACGCGACATCGAAAGGAGTTAAAGCATCTGGTCCGGGAGCCTTTTCGCCTTTTGTCTCGCCTTGCAGCCGGCGGTATTTCCATACTGACAGTTTTGATTCGCTTGCGCTACTCGTGGTGCAGACTTCCAGAGAGGATTTGGGAGGTTCGGAGTGAACTCTGGATGAGAGTTGTTGTGTCATGGTGTTGCTGCCGCGCAGCTCTCGGTTTGTGGTGCCATCATGGTTGATGAAGTCATGGAAGCGAGATGTTTCGTTGCTGAGTGGCACAGTTCAGATGGCTTGCAGGGGTACCAGCTGCAGATGCTCTCTGTCACCCAAGTGGCTCCCGAAGCCATCGACGGCGCAGTGCCCGAGGCACAGCCCTAACCCTAAACCCAATTTATCCCTATTGATTCCCATATATCCGTATTTGTCCTATGTATCCCTGTTTCTCCCTATGTCTCCTTGTTTGTACCTATTTCTTCTGTCGTCTTTGGTTTTGTCCCACCTCGGACGTATCTCAAGCCAATGTCTGAGATGCTCGTCCTGACAGGTTCGGGCAGCTCCGGACCCGGACGTGCCGGCGCCGCCCCCCACAAAGCCAGTTGGGGCGCCCAGGAGTTCTTCTTCCTTCCGTTCTTCTGCGCCACGCGCGATCTTTGAGGTTGAGACGGGCCCTTCCTTGCTGGGAGCTGGAGCCTTACGTTAGCCTCATTGGCCTTCTGCCTCCATGTCCAGCCATGCCTGTGCTGGGCCAACTAAGGATTTGCCTTCGCTTTCCAAGAATGATGAGTCTCAAAACAAGAGAAAGGCCATTTCGCATTGCAATTGGGGTGAGACTAGCCGCAACTTGGCGACTCCCGGCAGGACAAGCACAAGATTCGGATTGAATCCAGGTCAGTGGTTGATTGTCCAGAGGCACCTTCTTCGCCAAGCAGCCCAGCTTTCGATGCGCCGTCAAATCTCCTGCGTTTTTTGCAAGCTTGCCAGGACATGCGATGCGCCATAGATGGGAAGGTCATGGTCAACCCGGTGCGCCTGATCCCGTGACCCGGCAAAAAGACAAACGCAAGCTCAGACTTGGTGGCAGGTGCTGTCACGCTATGGCCATCATTTCGAGCGAAAGACGCTCGAAAAGTGGTTCGGAAACTGTGGATCCGTGGTGCGCTGAGGGATTGTGGCCTGATGTGGCGTGATGTGGTGTGACGTGGCGTCGTTTCTGAGTGGCGAGCTCTTCGGCCCAGGTGTGTCCGATAACCCAGAAACCGCTCCGCTTGGAGGAGTGTCAACCCGACAATGAAATGAAGAAAAGGCACCTAAATGCATTGCATGTTGGCTTTGGTAGCTGAAGACATCTGCAGTGCATCAGAGCAGCATCGAGCTCCCGGTGATCCGCTTACGATTAGCTTCGTTCAACCTGCCACGCGGCAGAATCGTCAAGTTCTTGAAGGGCCAGGCGTGATCTTCCTCTCAGCAAAAGCCTGCAGCGTGGCCGGCATGAGCATCCACCTCAGTGGTTTCAATGATGGCTTTCGGTTTCTCGTGCCCCCAAGTTGATGTTGCATCTGCATGGAAAGGTCTAAGCTTGGCAAGATGGCGGTGAATATCCCGTGGCAGCAGCAACAAGCCAACAAGCAGACCTGAAACGGGACAGCGCGAACGCATAGGTAACAGTTATGTCTCCACATAACAGCCACACGTAACGGCTGCTGCTCACGGTGTGCGTTCTGTAAGATAGTTTCTAGGGCTAGGTTCCACAATTTCACCCAACCTGCTCAGGGTTATGATCCCCTATGCAGCTTCAGACCGTGCATGCGAAATTGACAAAAAGGCGGGTCAACAGACACCCTGATCTTCTTCTACTCCGGCAGCCCTCCACAGCTTGGAACACAAACTCGACAGGGCACCGACTGCCGCTCCGCATCCGGTTCGTTCTGCTCTTCCGCATACCGTGGACCCAATCTGCATCGATTCTCGAAAACATCACCGGATGTCCAATTGTTTTCCTCGTTGGAGAGGTTTGCAATTCCGGCTCAGCCCAAAGCCAATCCAGGAACCCTCTAACATCTGCATTCTCACGTGCGTTCAAATTTCAGTTTTTTGTTCTGACTTGTGGCCCACTCACGGCTTGAAGGCCCATCGAGCAATCTCAGGGGCACGATCACCACTTCTAAAGGGTTGGGTGACGCCACCTTGCCAGATACCGTCGTGTCGGTGTGCAGCCATCACTGTGCGCTCGCGGCTGTGAATGACAGCATGCCATGGTCAGCTGGGTTGTAAAGCATTGAAAGAAGCCCAAGACAATGACATTTTATCATACCTTGGGGCAGCCGTTCCATCTACACTTGCACATGGCCCAGACGTTTTGGTATACCTGCGATCTGAGAAAATGTAGTTCCTACACTGGTTACTGGTTCCTTTGCCTTGTCTGTTTCCGCTCCTGCCCGTCATGCTGCTATGCCTTCCATGTCTTGCAGAGCCCTTGTGATCATGAAGCCGACGTGTCAGCTCCTCGCAGCTTTTGGGGCCAAAGCCTTGCCCTACTTGCAATGCATGACATGTTTTCTGGGCATCCACCGCCTCTCCACGTCTCTCCATAAATAGCTCCTCTTCGGCAGAGCACAGTTGCAAGCGTGGATTGGCTTGGCGGCTTGGAGCGCAAGTCTAGCATGGAGGCACAGTTGCGCATTTGTGGGCACATTCGTTTCTTTCAGGTTTGTTGTTTCATGTGCGGTATGCCGGACGTTGCAGGCCTATTGCAGTAGTTGTCGACACATGTTCGACAGAGCGGTGTGCAGGTTACCACGGGGACAAGCCTCGGCCGTACCCCTAGCTAGTCGGACAGGCCAAATTTCAGTGCCGGCTGTTGGATGCAACGGAGTGTCTGACCATGCGTTAATTGTTCCTTGGCTTTGACAGAGAATTGGCACCATGTGCAGCCGGTCATAGTGGAGACAAGTTTCTTGAATCTTTACTATTTATCCGCCATCATGCCATCGGCCGTGCTTACAGGTATGTGTGGCTTGGCAGTTTTACAGTCAGTCTACAGAAGCACTTAGCAATACTTAGCAGGACTTTCAGCAAGGCAGCGTTTTACTAGAATGATCGATCCCGGCTCGGCATTCCTGGCTGGACCTCTCGGGCACCATGCAGGCGTGCACGCGCGCTCTTTGGAGCTGTGCGGTGCCAGGGCGCCAGCAAGGGCCTTGAACAGACCTAGATGTGGGCGGGCTGCATCCGCTGCTCTGGTTTTGGGCGTGTTGCATCATTTGCATCCGATCCGGTCCAGGAGGAAGGGCCGGCCAAGCCGGAGCAAAGTCTCGAAAGTGGGGAGGCGGTCAGATAGAACGCGCGAGGCCCGCGAGGCCATCCGTCAATGCCTTCGGGAGAACCGAACCGTTCCCGTACTCCAAGCGTTGCCGGAGGATTCCCTGCAGCAGATATTGGATTCCATGACCCGGATGGAGCTGGATCCAGGGACGCATATCTTCCGCAGGGGTGAGCCCGTGAATGCCGTGTATGTGGTGGAGTCGGGCGAGCTTAGTGTTTTCAAGCTCCTTCACGAGGATGACGACGAAGAAATTGAAGCCACTACGCTGGGACCGGGATCCTACATCGGCGAGCTGGGCTTGTTCTATGATCGGACATGCATGGAATCTGTCTGTGTTCGGGGCGAAGAGCCTGCAGCGGTCTGGCAGCTGTGCCGCAAGGACTTCTTCAGAATCCTCGACAAGCTTGCAGAGATGGAGGAAGTTTGTGACGTCGATCCAAGCATCATGGATGAAGAGCCGGCCGCAATCTTTGCGGTATCCGACGGTTCTGGCTACTCCGCGGGGGGCGCTGTGAGCTTGGCCTTGAAACAGTTTGAGTACAGGTACCGAAAAGACTGCCAGCGAGTTGGCACGACCACGTTTCCATACATCCGATACAGAGCCGAGATCCTTGAGATCACGCGGCGCGCCAGGGAGGAGAACGCCCTGGTGGTTTACACCTTGATGCGCGAGGAGCCTCGGGAAGCCATCATCGAGGAACTGCAGCGGCCGACAAAACCTGGTGAGAACGAGCCGCTCGGATTGGTTGAGGTGTGTGAATCTTCCCCCCCCCCCCCCCCCAAATTCCCCCCCCAGTTCCCCTCCCCCCCCGTTCGGAGAGTCGATCACTTGGCATTCTCTGGAGCTGTCGATTCGGGTTTGCGGGTGTATTCCGATGTAGTGGAGCGCCAATCGTGCCATTTTTAAAGTGCTTTCTGGAGGTGAGATGGCCGGAAGAACTCGCTTTTGCTACGAGATGAGTCGTATGACTCAAAAACATAGTTGTTCTGTCAATTGCCGACTATCCCCAAACTCCTGTTGTGCCGACTTTGACTTTCTCCTCACCCGAGGCTCCGCGCCGTGGATCTTTACGAGCCATTGCTGGTGGGGGATCAGATCTAGCCATTCCCTGCAATGCGAAAGCCTGCAGAGCCTTCCTTTGCAGTGATGCGCAGGCCTCCATGGAGGAGCTGCTGGGCATTCCCAGACAAGCGGAGGTGCCGTGCTCTGCTTGTCTTGTGCACTTCGCTGATAGCACGCGCGCCGGTGCACGCGCCAAGGCGAAGCCCCAAACCCCGAAACTCGAGACCAAAGTGCCATCTCGCCCCCAAGTCTAGCCCAAAGACGTAGGTGCGATCGACGCTGCGCTCGCGGCTCTCGGAAGAGTGCATCAACATGGTGGAGGCTCTCGCAGTTGCACTGATTTGTACTCACTTGCACTCACTTGCACTCACGAGCACTCATTTGCATCCATGTGCACTCCCCTACATCTCCCAAACCTGCGCGCTTTTAATTGGAGGCTTGTTGAACTGCAGGGGACATCTAGACGTGACTAGTCATAGTAGTACAACAGAAATTGTGGGCCTACCAGTGACTCGTGACTCGTGACATACTTCTCGGGATGCGCTCTCAGTTTCATGTGCAAACTTATGCTTGTGCTGGTGCCACCAAGGCGATCGAGTTCACACGCATGCTCGATGATGGCATGCACCCAGAGCTGTGGTCCGAAGCCGTGGCTCAGCGACCTCGAATGAGTTCAAACTTTTCCTCAAACCCCAAGCCAATTCGCAGCGGTCGCAGCACTTTCGGCTTCATCGGACCGAGGACATCATACTCATCGGCCTGTCGCGGGCAGGCAAAACACCATTGGCGACGGAGCCCGAGTGCACCGCGAATGCTGGTGTAGAGGTATCTTTTCGGCATTTGCAGGTTTACACATGTGTAACCCAATGGAAGCTGAGGTTCTTCTTGGCCCAGCGAGGTTTCAAAGTGGCCAACTATCCTGTCATTCCGGATGAAGACCCTCCGAAGGCTCTCTTTGATCCTGAAATTCAGTAACGTGGCAGGATCTGGTGTCTCAAAAGCAGCTGGAAACCTGCAGTGTTTGCCCATGTTTGGCCTCTTAAGGCACAAATGTATCGCCTTGACAATCCAAGCTCAGCGTTTGCATGCTGTGCGCTCAGCCAGAATGCCTCTTTACTGCAATGTGTCGTCTGCATCGTGACCGAACTGGGTGGAACCGACAACTAACCGACAACTAGCTGACAACTACACCCAAAGTAACCCGCATCGAATGTACCATCGCGGTCATACCTGTGCATGCTGATGTTTGTTGATTTCAGGGAGTCCACTGTGCTAGTCCGCGATGCAGAGTCAGACACGCATCGGTGTACCCCCAATGTTCGAAAGTCGGGACAGATGTTTAAGTACAGCACCAGCCACAGTGCAATCAGTCTATTGACGTGAGATTGGGCATATTTCCACGTTAAAGCAAAGATTTTCACAGCGCAGCAGTCACGTTCTGTCGATGTCCTTCTCATGAGCTCTTGCCAAGCCGAGGTGTGTGTGTGTGTGTGTGTGATTGCTTGACTCCGGTAGAGGTTGTGCCCGGTCTTTTTATGTCAACCGTTATGTGGAAGACTCTGCCAAACCCAGGAAAGACTATGGAAGAGATGAGTCGAAGCTGCTCAGATTCAGTTTGCGCATTGCACGTCACTTGCGAGATTTCGTGAGATTCCGGTGAGGTATGCGTCCATGGAGAACTGCAAGAAGGAGGCCGGATGCGCCAGCACCAGGCAAAAGTTTACCTAAAGCTGTTGGACTGCGCGACCGTTACCTCGCACATGGTTCTGCGTGCTTGACGCTCCAGGTCAACTGGCTGAAGACATTTTACATGCGGCACCTTGGATGTCGCTCCGTTTTCGTGCGTCCGTTTCTCTAAGATTTGGCCGACACAACTTGAGCTGTTGTTGTTATTCTTCTCGTCGTTGTAGCTGTTGCCGATAGCTGATGCTATTGTTAATGTTCTTGGCCTTCTTGTTGTCATTGTTGCTTTTCCTGTTAATGTTCTTGTTCTCGTTCTCTGTATTTCTAGATTTGCCGCTCTTGCGTACGTTTTTACTCTGCTGCTGGTGGTGCTGTTGATTTTGTCGTGGTAGTGGTAGTCGGTCTCTTCGTTCATTGTGTCTAGTGTAAGCAGTTTTGTACAGTCAGTACTTAAGTTTTCATTTGAGTGATTGCGCTGGTTCTTGTTGAGTCTGGTTATTGTGCCTGGTACGGCTGTCATCTGGTTGCTGTTGCAAGATTTTTGGTTATGATTGTGCCGTGTTGCTGTAACTGCAGTTACTCTGACGTCCTTCTTCTTAGTTCATCACCCACAATCATCCTTCAATCATCAACAAAAGAATGACATGGCTGACTCTGGCTGACGCTCAGTCGAGGCAAGGGCCGCACTGGACGGTGCTGGACACGACCGACGGCGGTGTGGAAGAAACCGCTGCAAAGGCACACCTCTTTGCAAAAACAGCTCGATTCTCGATTTCCTGAAGCGTGGTCTGCTTTTTCGGGGTCTGGGCCTCCATGTCCAGGTGCTCAAAATCCTACAAGAGCTGAAGGGCGCCGACCATGCCAACGAAAAAATGTTCAGAAATCCCTCCATGGAGTGAACGGACTTAGATTTCTTTGGAGCATTCCGCACCTTTCGAAGAGAGAAGAGCAGAATGGTGATCAGTGCCAAGCTCCCTCAATCCCTCTTTCTGTGCACTGATTGCGGAATGGTCGATTGCAAAACGGGATACAGCCATCCCTTCAATGCAGGGGGCCTTTTGAAGGCTGTTGGATGTGTATTGCAATCTGGAGTACTGGCGATCGTTCGGCGGAAGGACGGATCAGAGAAGAAGTGGAGAAGCGTCATCGCTTGCGAAGTCGGAACCGCGGGTGTAGGGGAAGGAAATTGAGCAGCATTTGTAGCACGTGCAACGCCTCGTTACTCCTCGTTACTACGTAGGTTACTACGTAGCCGCCGGGAACAGCTGTGAAGACATGTAAACCAAGTTGTAAGCAGATGGTAGTGGTGGTAGCCTCATCAGTTTCTTTCAGACAATTGCAGTAAGCGATGGGGGCCAAGGTGGCACTGCTTGGGAATGGCAGCGTGAATTGGAGGCCTGCTGTGGCTTCGGGGTTGGAGGGGCGAAAGCTACTAGTAGTTCTTGTGGAGCTTGCGCGGTAGTTGTTGTTTACAAATCTTCTTGGTGGGTCAAAAAGCGATGGGGTCTGCCGTCAGTGAGCGCTGTGCAGAGCACACCCTAAACCCTAAACCCTGAACCAGCCTTGCTTCTTGCATCTTGCGCTCAGCACCTGCCACATCTGTGAGGTTCGTTCTTAGCGCCCTGAACTCGTAAACATACCCTCTCAACCTTACACCGCAAGCAGTCTCGCATGAGAAAACAACGGGGTCAACTAGCTTTCACAGTCCTCTTCTCAAGTTCAATGTACGCAAAGGAACCGGCTTATTTGTGTTGAGGTGTTTGCGGGACGTGTCGCCCGTGGGCGAGCAGACGAGGCCCACAGTCTGCCATGCGAAGATGGCCGAAGCTTCTGTTCCGGGTATCGTGTTGAGGCTGCAGCAAGCCGCAGGGCAGCGGAGGAAGCCGAGAGGCTGGGAGCCCCCAGAGATCGCCACAGAGATACCCGCAGGGCCCACTTTAACTCTCCTGATTCTGATTCTCAGGGCTGCCCTGCAGCGGAGCCAAGAAGCGGAACGGCGGGCCTTGATGGCGCAGACCGAGGAGAGTTCTGGCCTCGAGGGAAGGGCGGGGAGGGGGCGGGGGGGGGGAAATGGGCCTTGGATGGAGGATTGAAGCTTCGAAGAGCTTTATGACTTTTGGAGTGCTCGTGACCGCACCGAGAACCTTCAAAACTCGAAAAGATTTGCATTGTGATTTTATGATAGGGGACAACATGTCGCGACGTTTTTTTTTTTTTTTTTTTTTTTTTTTTTTTTTTTTTTTGACGCAGAAGCGTGCCATATGGCGTATTTGGAAGCAACTTGTGCTTACACATGGCACGGCGGCGGTATTGTATCGCAGAATCTTCAGTCACGAGGAGAGCGACGCGTCCAAGAGTTTTGCGCGTTTCCAAACAGTAAAAGGAATCTTTTTGGACCCCCTACATTGCGAAGCAACACCTCGTTTCATGTGGCAGGCGTGGCACTTTCGACATGGGGATGTAGATGTACAAACAAAATAGACATTCATTGCCTTTGTGTTCCTTGTGTGAGTTGGGTTGCAGTCGGCAACTCCATGTTGATGAGAGCACGGCATCTCGAGGCCAGGCGCTGCAGCAATTCCTTTCTGGTTGGCACCATTCGCTTGAGGCCAGGGACAGCATATTGATTCACTGGTCCACAAGCCTGCAGAGCCTTTGCAGATCTCTGAAATTTCAACCTGTGCGTAGCATGTCGCTGTTGGTGGCATGAGGTGGCACTTGGTCCGGCAAGCTTACTCACTGGCTCTCAATGATTCAATGATGTCCACGCCTGCAAGACACATGAGAAAAAGCAGCGTCCCAGCATTGACAGCATCCACCTCAGCGACCCCAACCCGTAGTCCTCAGAGTACAGCTTAGAGCACGGAGCATGATCATGGCAACTTGGCCGAACACCCAGCGCGCAACGGACATGATGCACTGGTGCCAGCGCGTGGCGCTTGCTGCAGAGCCTCCGGCCCACTGACTGATTCCGTGGACTGTTTAAGAGTGACAGTGCACACAATCCAAGCAAACTAGTTGCCATCTCCACAGATACACACCAGTGGACTTGCCTACTACTTTGCCTGCCCCTTCAACGCCCCAAGAGAGCACCTGTAGAGCATCACAGCTTTCACTCTTTGTTCAGCACGATGAGGGCTATTGAGCACATGCTTGCTGATAGAGTTTCAGTTTTGCGCCACCCTCAGAAGTAGCGAAGTGCTCATGCCACTCACATTCTCACTACATCTATCTAGCAGCTGTGTTCGGGCGCTATTGAGGCTGCTCGCGGGTATTGCTCGTGACTCTTCAATTCTTCTACTACCTTTTACAGACTCATTCGGCTGACTTTGCAGCCAAGCAGTGCTGACCAGTGCTGAAGCGCTTCGCTTCTTTGGTTGAGTAGGTGAGTGCTTCTGAGTTAGGCTTGGCAAAACTGACTTCAGATCAAGGTGCCGGAGCACATGGAGGTCGAGACGACGCTGGAATACTTGTCCTGGCCTGGAGGACCGCGGGCGTGTCGCGAATGTTGTCACCTGTGCTTGTTTTTTGTTTTTTGGAGTGAAGGCAACTGCCAAACAGAGCGCAGACCCGCCGTGCTGCCCCTGCCACCAGCAAAGCGCCGGCGAGCTGCTGTCACTTTCTTACTGGGTATGGACACTTCTTGAATTCAAGAAGCGTAGCTGGGTCAGAGCGACCGATCCAACAGTTTTGTGCACAAGTAGCAAGTTAGCAAGTTCACCTCAAACGCATGAAAGTAAGGGCGTGCATGATGTGGAGAGAGACTAGAACCATCCTAAAAATCAACACCATGCGTGCATCTTCCTCCACATGTCAAGGTCTGGCAGTCTTATTGGCCGAGCTGTGAAATGCTCGGCACAGAGATTGATGTGGGAGAGCTTTGGGTGCGCATGCTGCGATTCGAGGACCCCGCGAGAAGCAGCGCTTCTTCGCAAGAGTTCTGCAAGTTAGAATGGCGCATTCTCACCTGACAAGATCAATGCCCAGGAGCACTGGCGCAGCCATGACCTGGAGCTGTGTTCGGGCACAGCTTTGGTTCTGTGCCTGGGCAAACATGACACAGATGTGTGTGTGTGTGTGTGTGTGTGCGTTGCAATCGCGGCAGTGGCGCGGTCCGGAGCAGTGCGTGCATGCAGGCATTAGCTGGAGCAGTGCGATTGATTAGCCGTAGCTTGGCGCGGTTTCACTGCAAGACATCAGGGCAGATGTCTAGCAGTCCATGCTTAACAAAAGCAGATGACGTTCGGTTCTAGATCGCGGAGACCCGGACATGTGTACAGAAAAGATGCAGCAGCGCTCGAGTACACTTTCATTGTTTTTGGTCGGCAGGCTGTCCTTGAACAGAGGTTGCAAAGGGTTGGCGTTTGGGGGTCTCTTGCTCCGTTTGGCACAGGGCTGCAGGCACCCCTTCTAGCCGCCAGACTCTGCAAGACAAAACAGCCCACAATTAACAAGGAATGGCAAGACTCGTACACCAGCTTCCCTGCGTGACTGTCGCCCAAGGCTTCAACAAAGAAAGCATGGTTGCGAGACTGTGCTGGCAGTGTTTGTTTTTGTTTCGTTGGCTTCTGCTGCATCGTAGGCCCGATTCGAGCTTTTTGCCCACCAGCTCAGCAACCTGGACCGGCGTGTTGACCAGGAGCAACAGGGTCTACTACTACTACCGATTTTAGGATTGAGGGATACTTGTAGGACCTGGACGGCTTAAGATGTATGATGTGTCAGCCGTGTTTCGAAGCGAAAGTAGGCTCACCGAATCAGGGCGCATGCGCGCGTGGAACAAGGGCCAACATAGTGTTGTTCGTTCCAATCCCTCCTTGTTCCCGACTCCCTGGATGCGTGCTCTTCAGGCTTTCGGGTGTCTAGGCTTTAGGAGTACAGGACTCGGCGAAACTGGAAGGAGCCCAGCGCCGCCTCGAGGTGCAGCAGTCACGTGCAGTCACGTGCAGTCACGTGCAGTCACGCAGAGTCACGCGGTGCTCGTGCATCTTTATCTTTGCAGCATGCTTTTCGCACGTGGTCCGAAGACCCCCAGTTTTCTTGGGCAGCTTCAGGCGGAGTCTGCACGCAACGAGGGCTTCCAGAGCTCAATCCAGGCTACGTCGCGTCTCTGAGTTTCCACGGGTGTCGCCTCTTGAAGTTGCTTGTGATGTGTCAGGGGGCGAAGTTGTAATCGGCAGTTGGCATGGTGAACTTAACACCGCATGTCCATGGCGGGATGCTGTCAGCCGTTATGCAGGCCACGTTGTCCGGCCTATCAGCCACGGTCTGAGTGAACAGCGTCTGAGACATGGGTGGTTGTCAAAATTAATCCTGTTTGGGGTACCCCAAATATTAATCAGGTGCCGTATTATGATAGGGACCCAACAAGGGACCATCATTTGACAACCACCCACATGTCTGTCCCTGGCCTGTGATCCGATGCGATCACATGCAATTGCAAGTCGTGTTCGCTCAGGAACGTGTGGACACGGGCCATCAAAGGCTCACTGACGAGATCGAAGCCAAGTGCCAGGAGGCCCTCGCTAGTCAGACTCGATTCGGTGAAGCTCGATCTGGGACTCAGCCATGTTGAGGTCGGCAGTGAACTGTCGAAGCGAGAAGCAGAGAACCAGCAGGCTCAGCGCTTGACTTGCTAGGTATGGGAGTTGGCAAAAGAGTTGGGAAGACGCTTACATTGGCTTACATGCAACGAATCTGCTGAGGCTCTGTCCAGCCTTTCGAATCGACTGCAGGATGTCGAGGCGTGCTACGGTTTTCACAAGAGCCTGGGAGCTGTAATCCATTTCTGCGAGAGAGAGAGGGCGAGAGAGGGTGGGGCGCGCGCTCGCGCGGGGGGTCACCCCCAAGCCCCCAAGAAAGAAAGAAAGAAAGAAAGAGGGTGAGAGAGGGAGAGAGAGGGAGAGAACAGAAAGAGAGAGATGTGGAGAGATGTGGTCAAGATGTGCTCTCAACAGTGCGCAGTCGCATGGCGAAGTTGCAGCTCGCGGGCTTCGGGCCTTGGAGCCCTTCATCGAGCGAGTCACCTCCAGGCGCTCCCCGAACACCACAAAACACCCCCTTTTGAAGTGCGAACCTTTCCTTGTAGGCCGCATTTGTGCCTTTGGCCGCGTTGTGCATTTGTGAAGTTGTACCAACATTGTACAAGCGAGTGGCGCGAAGGCTTGAGGACGTCGAGCAGCTGCAGCCGGTGGTGGACAGCATGAGGTCTTCCCCATGTTTATTCCATTTTGCTGCTTTGCTCCCTCCCAACCCCACCGCCCCCGTCCCCCCATCTTCGACCCTATCAGATCACTGCGTAGTGTCTTTTGCAAGCCAGGTCTGAGCTTTCAGCTTCAAGTGGGCGTCTAAGACTTTCCGCTTTCACTTAGTCTTGAACTCCAAGACCCGCATCACGGTGCTTGCAAGCTGCACGCACTCTGGAATACTCCCAAGAATATCTCGGAAGGTCAGGTCCTGCGCACGGCCATAACAGCAGAAGGCAAACTCATGGAGGCTTTCCGCCACCCTGCGTGCCGTCCTGTGCCATCCCTGTGCCTGCCTGTGCCATCCTGTGACTTCCTGTGCCTGTTGGATCTCTTGAGCCTCATTTCTGCAACACTTTCTGACTGCGAGCAGGAACGTCTCCAGACTTTGCGCGAAGACATATGCTCATCCCAGGAGCAGCATCTCACAGTGCTCTGCGATGACATGTGCAGCATTCCTGAGCACATCTGAGCACCGCAGTCTGCAGAGTGGCTCTTTTGTTGAGGAGTCTGACAGGCTTCGGTTGGTCAAAGACTTGCAGGACCTTCGAGCGAGATCCAGATGTTGCTGCTTGCAAGCCTCTTGATACTCTTCGATACTTTTCGATGATCTATGTGCGGTCCCGGAGGAGGTGAGGAACGTGGCAGAGGCTGCGACCGTCAGCAGATGTCAGCCTTTGCCGTTTGCTGTTCCTGCGCCCTCTCAAAAGTTGCTTCTGTCGCAGTGCATGGCTCAAGCCCATGCTGATTTTTCAACTAGTTCACAGGCCCCTCGACAGGCTCATCCAGACGTGTCTGCCTGGTAGGTGTAACTATGATTTCAGAGCAGCCGCACCAGTCAGAGTCAGAACTCCCGACTTGTGAACTTCGTGGATTTCAGTGGAAGGTCAACTGCCGTCGCTGCTCGGCGAACTCTGTCGTAAAATGGTGGCTGGGATGCACAAAGCCGTGAAAGCCAGCTCTTGTTTGCAACCTTCTTGTACGTGCCAAAAGTCTCGAAACACTGCCCAGGCATGCGAACAGTCCAAAAGTGCAAAAGCTGGCGAGTTTAGCTGGACCTAAGGTTCCCACTAAGGTTCCCACTAAGGTTCCCACTAAGGTTCCCACCCCCATCCGCCCCCGACGCCCAAACGCCCAAACCCCGCAAAGCCTATCTGAGCCTGAAGCATTGAATCCCGCGAAGCCTGAAGAGACTGAGATGGTTGGGTTGTTGTAAGGATCGGCACCCCTGGATGCTCGTCAGGACGAGGCGGGCGAAGCCCTGGCATCTTCGCACGCCGTAGAGTCGCAGAGTCGCAGAGTCGTAGAGTCGTAGAGTAGAGTCCTCATGCCTGAGGAGTCTGCTGCTCTGCCTGCCTGTCCTCGGCTTGGAGGCCCGAGAGCCGCGGACCCGATGGCCCCTGCGAAGAGAGCGAACCTGTGCTCTCAGGCGACTGTGCTTGAGGGCCGATCAGATCGTGTCGTGGTGGCACAGTAGGTGGCGGCACCGTTGTGGGCTGTTTAGACACTGACCCTCGCGCTGGCATGCACTGACCAGCCCCAGTCCAGCCCCCGGTACTTTGTTGGTTTTAAGGTGCGGCTTCAGTGATCGTTTCAGCAGATGGCTCCTCCCAAGGCTCTGGCGAGTGTTCGTAGCTTCTTCCTTGGAGCCTCGACTCCTCGACTCATCCAGGATTGGTCAGAAGCCAAAGGTGGTGGGCACCCAAAGCTCCTCCCGATGAGAGTCGGCCACAGCCCTTGGCACACACAGGCGGGGTGCCCCTTCTGAACTCTGGACCCATGGGTCAGACGTGGGTCGGACATGAGACATGAGACATGAGACATGGTCAGGCACCATCAATCCGCTAAGCTGCTACGACACCTTGGCCAAAGCTGCAGCCTTGGTCAGCACGGAGCCACCAGAAGCCTTGGAAGCCACGCGAAGCCTTGGAAGTCCAAGCTGAGGCAGAGATTCCATGCATCAACTTTGCCAAAGTCGCCTGCAAGCCATGGCAAGCTGCAGAGTGCAGCTGCGATGAGAAGCCGGCAGCCTAGTGCCTTCATTGGGTGACCGTGTTCTTAGTCGCCCCTCTCCTCGCTCGTCTCTGGCACGCGTGCACAGGAACCCGATCTGCGTGACGGACATGGCGCAAAGATCATCGGCAGCATCCCCTGCCGATGGACGCTCCGCCATCGCCACGCAGCATGTGTCCAGGCGGAAGTGGCGAGCGGAAATGGCATGCAAGCTTCAACTTAAGCATGTGGACGATGTTTTGTTCGAGCCAGAAGTTTGGTTTCATGTAATTTGGCTGTACTTCGACTGACTTAGGCATGCTGCCCAAAGCTGGCGCCAGACAAAGCTGAGTGAAGTCTCCTCCATCTTGCTGTTAAGGTGTAGGAGCTGTGCAGATGTTTCACAAACCAATCGATGACCCGGCGGCCCACGGGGAAGCTCTGCTCACAACAATCTGCATGTCACACAAGACGAGTGGCATCAAATGGCAGCTTGGTGCAGCGAACATCAGCGAGCGGTGCAAACATGCTGCGATGTGCTGCAATTTGTTTGTAGCTGTTCGAGAAGTGAGAGAGCCGGCCTGTTAATGTGACCTTGGAGGCCGCTTCCGAGCAAGCCAAAGAGCTCACAAATGCCCTAGCTGCCGGGAAGGAGGCATGGCGGAGCTTTTTTCAGAATCGGTTGACTGGACTGCCAGGCCATATCCAGGCTACAAACCCCCGCTCCAAGCCATTTGTCCCTCTAGCTTGCTCGTGCTGGGGTGTTGATGCAGAGAGTGAGAGCAATGTCCCCTTTTCAGGAGGATGCCCGCGCGCTGGAGCGGCTGCGACAAGAGGCAGCGGCCAACCACAGGAACCTCCAAGCGGTGGAGGCCTTCGCGCACGTTCTTACCTTGCCCATTGATGGTTTTTGTTGTTCGTCTTTTGGCGCAAACCCTCCGTTCAGGCTCGTCTGCATGACTTGCGAACTGGAACAGCTGGAGGCCCCAGTGCCAGGTTCGTCTCGTTGAGTTGACCTCTATGCCTCCATTGACAGCACCAATTTTTTGCGCCTTTTCGCTGCCCGCGCTTAGCCGCTTGCCGAGCCCAGGCTGCCAATCTACAAGGCACAGATCCCTTGGACAACGTTGACAGAGTGAGATGCACGGAGGTTTTAAGAAGCCGCATGATACAACATGTGCCTTTCGGAGGTTCCGAGCAGCGACTCGAAGACATGTTCAGACAAGAGTCCGCATCCGGGAGGGCCGGAGTCAATCTGAATGTGTCCGGGTTTTTGCGGGCTCTGTGGGTTTTCATATGAGACTCTAAGGCTGCACAGTGCCACTGACAAAGCCTTCGCGCAGGCTCGTAGTGCCACTTTTCCTGCTTGCAGAGCATCACGTGCGAGCTGTCTGACGTGTGCAAGTCTTACTTTCGACATTGAGTAGCTTGGTTTCTCCTATGGGCCGGGATAGTTCGTTTTGTTTTCGGTCTCCAGGAAAGCTGTGGGCCTCGGTCGGTTTGCCTTCCAGATTTTCCCAAAAGCGCCTAGGGGGAAACCATCAGAAGGCCTCCGCGCTCTTCGGGCTGACATGCGCACTACATGCAGTATCGACAGTGTCGACGTGCAAACAGGTGTACGCATGTGCAAACCTGGCCTTGAGCCACGTTAGGATGATCTGCACGGCAGTCTGCGGGGCCTCGGCGAAATTCGCGATTAAGAGGGGCTACTGTACTTCTGCTGCGTGCAGGGTGGCTTTGACGTGTACGATGGCATCTGATAGATTTCACCCTCCATGTTAGTTAAGCTTGTGCCGTGACGATCCTTCAGTCGCAAGTGTGACAGAGATGTGAGTGAGCATGTTGCAGGATCAGGCAGCCAGTGTCTCAGTTCACTCTTTGTTCAAAGCCTTGAGCAAAGGGACAAAGGGTTGGCCTGCATGGTACTCTGCTCGCAATTGCAGCCCAGGTCAGCAAGAAACTGGAAGGCGAATTGTATGTGCAAATCGGAGCAGTGACTGCGGAGATCAAGGAACGCTTCCCGTGCACCATTATTGGGTGATTCCACTTCCGCCACAGCCACCAAAGGAGCTGAAGTCCGTGTCGATGGACAGCTCGGAGAAGCCGCGCTTCCAGCCTTAGTGGAGTTCCGCCTGCTCTGCATCTTCTCTGGGACCGAGGCTCCGTGTCGTCGAGCAGGAATTCTCGACCTTGGCAGAAGCGCTTGAGAGGGTCAAGGGGCAGGCGTGGACTGGCAGATTTTTGCTGAGCATGTTGAGAAATCTGGCTCTCACTGCGCTCAGGGCATCTCGCATGAATGGAAGATCCCTCACTGTCTTCGGAGGCTTCGTTACCTCTCCCTGCCGCAGACTCAGGTCGGGAATTCTCGCATGTCAATGGCTCCAGCTTCTTTGCCGAGGCTTGGAGAGCCCGGCTTGTGGATGGACTCGGAGCGCTTTTACTTGGGCGGGTTGGGTCCGCTGGGAGCTCGGTGTATTCAGCTCTGTTCGGGACAAGCTGCTCTTCCCACCTTGGTGCATGTGGCTGGAGTGCTGCTCGCATGATGCAAAGAATTGGAGTATTCGAGCCTTCTGCGCCGTGAGAGGAAACACCTCCCGCAAGGTCTGAGAGAGCACTTGCAGCCACTAGTGTGCGTCGGCCCTGATGGACACCGATCGACATGCATCCACACTCCGTCCCAGCTGCCATGTGCGCACTGGCTCCCAAGAGTATGAGCCTTGAAGCCTTGCACGCTCGTGTTGTGAGCCAGGGTTCTGAGAAGGGGCTTGCGTGCATGGGGTGAAGCATGGTGAAGCGCTTGCAAAGTGGGAGCTGCTTCGTGCATGATGACAAGAATTGGAGTATTCGAGCCTACTGCGCCGTGAGAAGAAACACCTCCCGCAAGGTCTGAGAGCCTAGCAGCTTGAAGTTGATTTGAATTGAATTGTTGGTGATGGACACGTCCATTCGCGGTCCCTTCGCAATGCCATTCTGCGCTGCTTGTGTTGCGCATGTCTGGAATGTGGCATAATGTGGCTACCGGTGCAGGGCAAGCTCGATGCTTTCTGGAACATGCTCTGTCTGCGTGCTCTGGGCATTCTCTGAGAGCATGCCGTGAGAGGTATGCTGTGAGTCACGTGAGGGTATCCTCGGAGAGTATGCTGAAGCACTGAGGCTGGAGATACGGTTCTATGCCAAAGGGCTTCGAGGTGGTGACGGGTGAGACGCCTAGAAAAGGATGACTCGGCAAAAGGGCGGTGCAAGCCTGAGCGCAGTGGGTTATGAATTCGGAGGCAATGCTCGCTGGCGTTGCGTCTGCCTTCGGAGGCGCGATCCAAGTTCCGAGAACCTGGCTTACTTGAGTTAGTCTTTTTTGCTCACAAGCTGTCTCATCCAAAGCAAAAGGCCGCCGTGAAACTTGCCCTGCCCATGATGGTGGACCTCAGCGCCAGCCTGGCATGGGCACATGCATGTTTCCGCCCCGCCATGATGTCATCGGAGTGCCTTTGCAGGTTGCCGGGCGGACGCTGCGAGCTGGTCAAACCACAGATCCTGAAGGCCACGGGGGCGAGAGACTAGCGACATTGAACGGGTTCCACTTTAGCGAGGCACAGACTGCATCACCTGGCTTGCGGAGTCCCTGGGCCTCCTGGAAGATCACCTGGTGCGGAACATTGCGGAATTCTGTTCGGAACGCTGCGGCACTCAGCATCGGCAGCCCTTGGCCTTCGCCTTCCGCCAGGCTGATGAGGGTGCCGACTTGCTCCTGGCGGCCGAGCTTCCGTGGGACTCCAATGGTTGAGCGAAGTCCTTGCAAAGGCACCTACAGGGGCACCAACCTTCAGGCTGTTGGCAGCACCGGCTCTGCTGGCCAACACGAGCTGTGCAACGCTGTCGCCTCCGAGCACCCGAGGCCAAGCGACTTTGACTTGCAGCCATCTTGTGATATCTTGTGGCATGTCTTGCCTTGATGGTGCCGATGTTGCCAGATGACCTGTGCCCTTCCGACATCACAGAGGAGGCAACGGTAGTTCGGCAGTTGAGATATGTCGAGTGCCCAGCTGTCCTCAGAAACTGCTGGAACTGGACTCCTGGGCAGGCTCTGGGAACTGACCCGACACTTGCAGCATTGTCGCTCGGGCCCATGCCCTTCGACAGGTTTCAGGAGAATGACTGTCTTGTCCCAACTTTGCATGACTTGACCATTCGAGAAGGTCAGCACCTCGAACCAGAGATTCGCGTGGCGTGGCGCCGGCAAAGTTGCAACCAACTCCTGCTCTAGTCCTACAGTAGAGTCCTACAAGCCGCGAAGTCAGTGGATGCAGGTTCCGATACGAGGGAACGAAGCCGTGCAGTGAGGACCTCAAAGTGAGGCTTCTGTGCTTCTCAAAAAGGCTGAAACAGGCTGGCACGAGTAGGAACGTATTGCATGGCTCAGGTCGGCTGCGGCGCTGCCCACTCTTTTGGGGCAGACCGAGCAGCCCAGCCCCATCCCCATTCCGGCAGATCCCCATTCGGGCTTGGAAAGCTTTGGTCTGCGTATGCCTTTGCCTCAGGCGGGGTGTTTGCCCTGCGCAGCTCCTGGGGCGCTTCGTGCCCTCTTCCGGTGAGCAAGGCGCAGGGCCTCGGAATGCAGAGCATGCGACATTATGCGGCATCTTGTGAGCCATGTTGAGCCTGCAGGCCTCCAATCCATTCGAGGAGCAGTTCTCGCCCTTGGGTTCGCTGTTGGGCCACGGACAAAGGCGAGGTATCTCTTTCTCTCTTTGACTTTTTTCCCGCCTTTAAAGAGCGAGGGCCTTGGGATGCTGAGACCGGGTTCTCCTCACAGGAATCCAGTGGCCATTCCTGCAGACGATGCAGCCAGATAGGTGCACCTGTCTGGTTAAATGCGCCTGTGAAAAAGGGCCTCTGCCAGAATCCTATAAGCTGGAGTTAGAGACTTCCGCTGAAGAAGTGTGAGAGTTCTGAGATGTTCTGAGTCCGCAGGCTTCCGTGCACAGGGGACGCTGAGGCCTGAAAAATCTGCAGGCTTCGGCTGCGCTTAGATGCAACCCACAGCGAGCAGCTTGCAAAATGGCATCTCAGCGAGTCATTGTTGGATACCTGCACCGTGCATGTGCTCTTTGCCTGACTTCAACGCACAACAAATCATCTGATTGAGAATGTACTATTCGAAAATACCTTGTTTCGCTGAAGCATCTTTATGTGTTGCCTAAACGAGGAACAGCGGGATGCCGTGCTTTGGAGAGAAACCGCCCATGCTTCGGCAGACCGAGGGCGCATTTGGTGATTTTGGGACTGCTAGGTCCCCGATGAGGATTGGCGCTATCCTGGGAACATGTTGAGCTCTCTTACCATTTCTACCTTCATTTTCGCCCGTGTGGTGTCTGCCTTGCGTCATCGTGGTTTTAGGATTGCTGCCACGGGGCGTCGGAGCTGTGCATTCCCGCAGCATTTTCGCCAGTCCAAGAAGCCAGCCATGACGCTGCAGCTGGGACGTTCATCACGGAGATGGGCCTATGCGCCCAGGTCTGACACTTAAGAGAGCCGCTCTCGTTTTGTTGAGCCTTTTGCAGGCGCACCTGCACACATGTGTGCAATCAGTTTGTGTACAAAGAGGTGCACAGAGGAGCATGTGTGCGATTGAAAAGGGGAGCTTCCTTCCTCCGTACTTCCCACAGAACTTTTGAGGCCATGGCCGAAGAAGCTGCTGCGATGCTGTGCTCTGCTGGCTCTCCTGGCCCGGCTCCCATTTTCTTGCTCTTTTTTTTTTGTGTCACACCTTTTTACATTTAGTGGGCTACCATGGCTACCATTGAAATTCGCGCGGATGGTTTTTAAATGCCTCTCGTGCGCAAACAGAGGCCTTGGCCGCAAACTCACTTCCCAAGAGGAGCTCGGACGTATTTACAGACATCCTCTCTTGGCAGCACCCGAGCAAAGCGAGCAAAGCGAGCAAAGCGAGCAAAGCGAGCGGTTTTGAAACGTGTGGAGGACATTCTCGCCGCTTGGCTTCGGCAAGAGCGAACTCAAGCCGGAGGCGGAGAGTCCTCATGGAGTCGTAGAATGTCGGAAACTTGGAGCAGATGCATGCTCTGTCACGCTTCTGCCGGTCCAGGTCCAAATGCATGCCAATGGCCCCAATGGTCACAGTGGTCCAGCGCGTGGTCCCGAGACCCGAGCAGAGGACGCGGGCTGTGATTCATCGCGGAGACACAAACCCTCTCATTTTAGGGTCAAGTTGGTCCTGCGATGAGTCCTTCTGTGCTATGTCGCATAATTGGAGGAACCTGCGTTCTTTGACTCCTTCCTGGACGGACTCCAAACTTCTGCCAGGGTGCTACCAGCCACTTCCCTTCGTTGCTTGTTTGCCATGCCCGCGCCGTACTGCATCACATGCTGAAACATTGATGATCCAGCATTCCATCATATTCCCCCCCCCCCCCACACTTCTGACAAATAGGCACGAATACTTTCTTAGGATGAAGCTTGTAGCGCTACTCTAAGTCTCAGAGAAGGAGCCTCACCGGGGCTTGATATATATGTGTATATATATATATATTTCTGCGCATTGTCGGAATTTGGAGGTAGTGACATTTGCAAGTGCTTGTGCGGGCCGCCTCGGCCTAAGCCACGGCACGTGCACGTCGGCGGTCCTGTGAGCACCTCGGAGCTTCCAGTCTGCACGGCGCTGCGGCTCACGGAGAATGATGCCAGAGAGCAGCCCTCCCGAAACCTTGAGCACGAGCCTGGGCGGGGTGGAGCTGCCAAGGGGTCCAAGTTTTGGAGATGGCGTGGGGATGGTGTGGGGGTCGCGGGGGTCCCATGTGGGGTTGCAGTAGGGCAAGGAGACCCTTCCTGGTCTGCTTGTTGCAGATGCAAAATCGGCCGGCGGCCCGAGGGGAATTTGTAGGATGTCCTCTCTTGGCACTTGTTGGACGCGTCTGGACGAAGTTTTTTGTGGCTCAGCTTCGAGTCGGAACGTGCTGCGCCAATCAGAGAACCTCATAGCATGTCATAGCATTTTGCATCGAACGCTGCCAACCAAACAGCTCTCCCTTGCAAGTAGATCAAGCGCTTTTGCGGCTCCACTCCAACTTTTGCATTCGACGCCAAGCTCCTCAGCCTTGTGCTTACGCTTCCTCGTTTATCACAGCCTTTTTCATGGCTGGAGGGCAGCTATGGGAGGCTTGGCATCCGCTATCCCAGAGTCGGAAGTCTTTGTGTCTGTGATGCAAGCTGGCCGTGATTTGGTTTTTGCAACAGGTCATAGGCGGATCTTCTGGTGGGGGGATCCTGGTGCGCGAAGGCCTCTTGAACGCAACTCAAACCTTTGCACCTCATAAAGCGTCCACCATGCCGGAGCATGAACCCCTCCGAAGTCGTAGGCCCGAGCCTCGTCGTAGACCCGCAACCTGCCTGAAGGTGAGAAGCTGGCGTCTGCTGAGCTTCCCTTGCGATTGGCCAATGGTGCCATCATCAAGCAGAAGGACTCCTAGTCGAGCCTTGAGGCTCCATGTCTTCGATGTGCGCATCTGCCGGTGCATCGTTGCCTGACTCGGCCTGGATCTCCACCTCGTCGTGCGTTGGGTTAAGGCTTGCCTTTGATCGGAATCATGTCAGGTGCTATGGCTCTTGTCGGGCAGTAGGAATAAAAGCTGGGGATGGCATCGGCAGAAACACACGGGAACATGCACGCATTTTCGCTGCAGGAGCTGAAAGGTGAGCGACTTCATTTCGAGCTTGTGGGTGGCACTGGGCCCAACGCTGGCTGGGTCAGTCTGAAGGTGAAGGCTCAATCTTAGTTCTGACTGGCTGCTGGACCTTGAGTGACATGTGGCAGCTGGCTCAGGGTCGTGAATTGCTTCGACCAGTTGCAGACGAAGGCGGGCATGGGCTGGCACGAGCACCTGCGGCCGTCCGGCCCTCTCTCGGCCACGAGTATGACTCGGCACCAAGAGAAACTCCTGCGGCACGGAAACACCAAACGAAGCAGCAGCAGCAACAACGCTGCGTTCAGAAAGAACGGCAGAAGAATGAAAGGCATGCACATCCACAATGTGCCATAACAGCGCCAGTGTCGTAGCACCGTCAAACTGCATTGTTGTGAGCCAACATCCAGCAGCCTTAATACACAAGGTGGTTACGAAGACAGCGACTGTTGGCACCATAATATTCAGCAGGCTACAAGGACCACATACCACCATCATTGCAAGTACGTCGGAAGGCAAACGGCGTCCATTTTGATGCTTTTAGAGGGGCGTCCCCGCATGGGCTTGGCTTGGGAATGCTTGGACGAGTCGTTTTCAGAACATAGGAGACCCACTGAATTTCATCGAACTTCTTATGTTCCTTTTGTCGTCATGGAGCGGGTTCCTCAGGCGTCCCCTGGTGGCTGAATCCGAGCCGCTTGAAGGGCACCATTCTCTTTCTTTCCATCCCGTGGAAGGCCGGACACTCGGGTTCTTGGGATCCTCGGAGTTAGAGCTGCTGCATATCGCTCATGAGTTTATGCCTGAGTTTCACGAACTTCCGTAGCCATCCCTGTTGAAGAAAACTATCTGCCAGGGACACATCGTCCACTTGCGACGTATAGGCCTGACGTGCTGGAGCGATGCTGCGTTCTGGCAACAGTTCAAGCATGCTGTCTGACCCTCCCTTAAAGGACTTTGGTTTGTTGGGCGACCTGGCTACAACGTGCATTTCGCCTGTTTTCCAGAAGATGAGGCGTTGGATTCTCTGTGCAGGATTGACGCGATTAGGTGAGACCATGTCCAGTGTGAGGGAATGTCGGGACAGGCCGAGCTGAAAAAACTTGGCTTCCAAGTTCATGCTGTGGCCTCGGAAACCTTCAGAAACTGCCAACGTGACGTCGGTGTTTTTCATGCTCCATGCCTCTCAAAGGCAGCTTTCGACCCAGGTGACCGAAGGAGACGAGCGAGTCTGCTCAGAATTTTTCCAGCTTATGGAGGCCTCCACCTCAACCGTTTCAACCACTCAAGTCGGTGGGGCTGATGTAGGTACAGGCGATGTTTGTTACTTCGTTGTATCATTGCCGCAACTGAACCAGCGCTCTGCTTCTCTGTGCTCCAGCCGCCACCCGTATCAGATGTATGACCATCATCGTATGCAGAAGGGCCGGTGGGGGAAAGCGTACGATCAGAGCGGCTGCAGAGACGAATGCAACCTCCACTTGTTCTAGCATCTTGTATCGTGCATCTTCAAACCCTCCAAATTGCCTTAGCCCTGAACTTCCTGAAGCTCCCATTCAATTCGTTCGTGTGTCGTTGTTGTGTTCTTGACAGCGTTGCCAGGATGGATTTCGAGAAGTTGCCAGGCGCCCTGGCGACTTAGACCAAGACGAGGGCGGAGCTTCGATGTTCACCTTCGCGCTGAGGCGGATAGAGTGATGAGAGAGATGCGACTGGACATGATGAGAAGAATGGTGCTGTAAGGGTGCAATGCTTTGCCTCAGGGGGATGGCGCAGTTCGTGGACAAGAACCAGGACGGCCGTCGAGCATTGCGGGAAATCACGCTTTGAACTCTTGGTTCGCAGGATCCACTGGCATCATACTTCGCCTTTTGCCTTCGCACGCTTTGTCCCGGCCACAGAGATGGTATGGGAATTTGAAGCTTGCATGGCAGATCATGGCAGCATGTCATGAGGTGCTGTGAAGCCTGATGCCCGAAGCCCAGTTGGGCCACACCCCTCTTGCATGGCTCAGCTCTGCCCTGCTTGAGCAGGTTGTGGTCTGTGACACATTCTGCTCGACAGCGGTGGCATGTCCGCAAGTAACACCATGTCAAGCTAGGAATGCCAAGCTGTAGAGCACTTGTAGAGCTGTTCAATCCGGGCCTGAGAGCCTCTCCACCACTCTCCAAGGGCCTGGTTCCTGCTTGGTGCGCTGCGGAGGGTGCCACCTTCATTCCGGTGCAGTCACCTGGGATCCCGGAGGCGGGCAGTTTGCAGGGGGAATCAGTTCGAGTGATCCTTGCCCATTTAGGCGCATGGCACCGCAGACCCCACCCCCACAGACAGCAAAACCCCATTGTCCAATCATTTTTCCCAACCATTTTCTCCAACAGCATACCACTTCATCTCGATCTCCAAATACTTTCTCCCAACGAGCATACCATCAGTTTTCCAGCACTTTTTCCAACTTTTCAGACCTCATTTTCGCATTTTCAACTAGCCAACCACTTGCCCCAAGCGTCCAAAGCGCCCCCCCCCCCCCCCCCCCCCAAAAAAAAAAAAAAAAAAAAAAAATCGCGCCATGTTCCCCTCAAAAACTCAACACACTTTGCCACGTTTTTCATTCAATCCTATAAGAACTGCACTGTTCCACAACCTTTTCCATCAAAGGCCGCCCAACAGCAAGCATTGATCCACAGCCTGGTGTCACCCCGAAATGGGCAAAGTCCACCTCATGGAAATGCTACCACCCACCCCAAAGAAAAAAAAAGTACACAATCTTAGGAGTACACCCAACACCCTACCTAGGTGCCATAGCCCAAAATAGGCAAGGGGGTCTTGTAGAGTTTGGTTCAGGGTTTGGGGTTAAGGGTCAAGCATTCGCTTCAGCTTCTTGGATTCTCCGTTCAGGTTATAACTAGCATGTAGATCTAGTTCAGAAGCAGTAGACATGTTTATTTACATTACCATATTGCTGGAAAAGCAACTGAGTACTGTTTTGGATTGATGAGATGACCAATGCTTATTTTGTTCCAGTGCTTTGCGTGTTTAGGTTTTTCTTCTACATGCTTAGTATCGTTGCAAAGAATTTCGGTGTGTTCAATCATGTTGAGTGTTTTTTATTTGTTCCTGATCTTCTCTTACTTTGTTGTCTAACATTTGCAAGAATGTTGTCAGAATCTTCCGCATCCAAAGTATTGAAATACACCTGTTTTCTCTTTTGTCACTCGGCAGAGTTATTTTGTCTCTCTTCAGCTTTTTTTTGGCTTGTATATGGTATATGTTCAGGTTTGTGTAATTCATTTTCCATTCTTATGTATATATATATAGGTGTTATATCTTTAAGTCATTTGCCTCAGGAAATGATACTCTTAAGAGTTACTGGACCACAACTTTTTGACAAACTTCTCTAAGGATTCAGAACAAGTCAAGGTGTAACTTAAGGGTGTTGATTGACACAGTATGTTCGCGTAAAACAATTGATATCTTTGACTTGCCTACAACGACAGCATTTTCTAACGATATTGACATCTGGTGCACTATATGTTGGGATGTTCCCCCTTATACTGTCAGTACCCGCTACTACAATCCCTATTACGGACTGTTAGTATAAGGAGTGACATCCCAAACAAGATGCATAAAA